CAAGACAAGAAAAAATAATCAAATCAAATCAATGATCACGCAAACTCAATTCCTGACTCTACAGCAGATAACCAAACAGAAGAACAGTGCTCAAACGAGGCAGAATGATTTAATAGAAACCTATACGAGCAAAGTTATTATCATAAGTCCTTTTGCACTTAAGGAAGATACCTTACTTACATGAAACTGACCGGGCTATATTCTAAAATTGTAATTCTCATGTAAGCTTTGAATCAAGGGCCACACTCATTATCCACTTACAGTAATTCAGACTCCATTCATCAGTAGGCTTGGATCCTGAGGCAACAGCGTTCTAGACTCAATCATTTCCTTTGACATGGTAAGATTTAATTTCATGTCCCACCGAGAACACCACGATTGGATTACCTTAAGGTTTACAGTATTTCTCAGCTTGTTGCTTTGTGCTCGAAGGAAAGAATCCCTAAGTGACAAGGGGTTATCAAGATTAGGTAAAGCCAAGTCTGGTATAAGTCTAATTTAGTGGAAATAAATGCATGTTGATTTGAATTCTCGTGAATTTGAATGAATGAATATTGCCACCAAATAAGTTACGTTTTCGACGGTTAGGGCCCTGATTAAAATCTTAGTCACCCGACAACAATAATTCCACCTAGGAAAAACGAGACAAGAAAGTAGAGAAAGTACTTAATTGCTTAAAAAAAATAGCCTCCCTGACCACTAGCGGCATGATAGGTGCTGGGTGCCATGATTCTATCGAAAAATCATGAATATTTCAGGTAGATAAAGAAGAAAAATAAAGGAAAAAAAATACAGAGCTGTGCTTCCCTACAATAGGGAGGGGGAGTGTCTGTTTGTATAACATGTAAGCGTGCGTTTTTGGTTTTTGTTTTGTTTGCTTGGTTTTCATTTATTTATTCCATTCCTATATTTTGCTCTACATATTTTTTTTCTTTCGCTCCCAGCACTTCCGACAATTTTACTCCCTTCCCAAACATTTTTGACACCATTGTTTCATAGGCCTATGCGTAGTATTTTAATTCCGGTTTACGATGATGAAGTTCTGGCTGAACGTCTTAGAAATAGTCTTTCTAGATGCTGCTGACACTGAGCGAGGTTTTGTTGAGAAACTTGAGATCTTTTGGGGGAAATACTTCCGAACAGCGATTGATGACAAGATTATTTCCACTTAGCTGAAAGATTTTTTTTTAGGAAACTAGTTTTTGGCGATTCTCATTCTCATTCTCTCTCTCTTCTCTTCTCTTCTCTCTCTCTCTTCTCTTCTTTCTCTTCTCTCTCTCTTCTCTCTCTCTCTTCTCTTCTCTTCTCTCTTCTCTCTTCTCTCTTCTCTCTTCTCTCTCTCTCTTCTCTCTTCCTCTCTCTCCTCCTCTCTCCTCTCTCCTCTCTCCTCTCTCCTCTCTCCTCTCTCCTCTCTCTCCTCTCTCCTCTCTCTCCTCTCTTCTCCCTCCCCCACTCCCTCCTCCCGCTCCCTCTCCATCTCCCTCTTCTTCTCCCCTCCCTCTCCCTCTCCCTTTTGAAAAAAGCCGACGT